AAAAAGAAAAAAAGAAAAAAAAAGAAAAAAAAAAAAAGAAAAAAAAAAAAAAAAAAAAAAGAGGGTACACAAGATATGCCCGAGACGGCAGTCACGCTTCATTGTTCTGGGTGGTCGTCGAGGTTCCCGAACAGTATCCTTTGTTTCATTGCCTTTTTTTTAGTTCAATTCATGGTCACTTGCAATTTCAAGCTTTGTTTGTTTATCCTTGATTTTGTTTTGCTCTGTTTTTTTGCTGTTGCTCACGGATGAGGAGATTGATTCCGGTGAGTTATATATAATTCTTAGTCAATAATTTGATTTAATCTATTATGAAGCTTGAAGCTAATCTTTTGCTTTTGGTTTTTGTAGATTCTGAGTTAGAGGAATTTATGGAACAACAAATTGGTATGTTTACTTTACTAAGCTATTGCTTTGTGGTAATTAAAGTTTATTATGAATCCTAACTTTGATATTGTTGAAAAGATGCTTTGCCTCAAAATGAGATGAATAATGAGATGAATCCTGAAGAAGATGGGTCATCCGACGACTCAGATGAGGTAGATTTTACTTGAAGGAGTTACTGATAAGCAATGAATCAGTATAAAAAGCTAATCTTGATTGTTTTTTTTCTGTATGTTTGGTTAGATGGGTTTGGACGAGGATGATGAGTCTTCGGATGAAGAAGACGTAGAGGCTGAAGCACAGGTTCCTCCGAGCAAGAAGATGTCAAATGGTATACATGGGATACCTAAAGGTGGAGACAAGAACAAGTCATCAGGTAACTAAAACTAAAAGTTCAGATATATAAAGATATAACTTTGAGTATGATTTGGTTTAAAACCATTTTGGTGTAGGAGGGAAGAAGAGATGTACATTCCCTTGTGGTTCTTCCTGCAAAAAGTAGAGGATATATGCACACACCAAATCACATTTTTCCATAGAAATTTGTACTTGTTTTTATTATTCAAAATTTTGGATAGTTTACTTTACCCTATTGGTGAATGTTTGAGTGACTTATGAGGTTTTTGGGGTTGAAAATTTTGGGATTATTCTGTCGTTTTGGAGTTTTAATGGTTTAAAACTTTAAGTGGTGTTATTCAATGATGGATTTTAATAGAATTGAAATCCAGCACTAATCCAGTGTTATTCAAAACTAAAAGACTTGTAAAATCTTTGTATATTAAGTTATTTCAAATGAAACCTCTTTGGAGTTTCATGAGTAAATTATTAGAATCAAAATCCAAGATATACTGCAGAGATTTTGAAATCCACACAAACAGATTCTTAAAACCAATATCAGAAAACAAATCTAAACCTTAAAGAATTGACTTTAACTCCACCATTGAATAAGACCCCCTAAATGAAATATGATTTGTGTTATTCGAATTTCAAAATCATTTTTTCTTTTCAAGTCCATAAATTTTTCAGTGATGATTGCTGATGTCGACAAGTTCTAATCTAATCTTGATCGCAATACTAAAGTAGAGTATATCCGTATATGTAATAAAAGAGTTAAAAACGGAAGTAGTTCAATTAGTCAATGTCCTTTCTTTTTTACTCCCTATTGTAAACAATAATAACAACAACATTCGTTTGTAAAGTAAAGATTAAAAAGATGTTTAAAAAAAGGAACGAAGAAAAAGTAGGCAGAAATGTGTGGCAAAACGAATGAAATTAAACATTCAAAATCTCCAAAATTGAAATGCGTCTGCCGGGAGTCGAACCCGGGTCTATTGCTTGGAAGGCAATTATCCTAAGACCATGTACACCGGTGAAACCAAATAGAGTATCAAAAGCCCAAATATATTTTCTTAATGGATCAGACACAATTTTCGGGCTTGATCCGTATCACTTGGGTGAGACTTTTGATACCCAGTATCATTGACGTGGCGGCTTCTTATTGGTTCCGAAAACGCGTTT